AATATTACCTATCGAATTCGAAGTTCAAAGTTTGCGCATTGCAATGGAGGAACGATTGGGGGATACGGAAGCGTTACAAGTTCGTTTCGCATAATTGTAGCAGTTGGATGAAACTCAAACCAATGCCCTATTGAGACAGGAGGCCACTCAAAGGCGACGGAAAAGTTATTATGATAGTAAATTAAAACCAAAATTTTTTATGCCCAATGATTTGGTACTGCTTTATGACAGTTGTTTTAAAAATTTTCCAGGAAAATTTCATATTCGGTGGCATGGGCCGTACAGAGTCACTGAGGATTTTTCCAATGGCTTAGTCCAATTGGAAGACTTTATGGGTGCTAAATTTACCGCGCGTATAAATGGGAATCGGCTACGTCTGTATGCTACATAAACTTGGGACGAGTTTTATATCGGTGGGGGTGGAGAGAGAAAGCCAATTTAGTATTGAAGTGACAGCACAAGAGTTGTGATGGGAAGGGAAGAGCGTGTGATGATGAGATTGTGGACGGGTTGAGTGAAGGTGAGCCGTCAGGAAGACACTAATAGGATAGGTTGTTATAGGCCTGTTAGGTTAAGTCATATCAGGAGGAGAACCAGGGTAGAAGTTAGGAGTGGGGCTTTTGGCTAACATTGTTTACATTGTAATTTCTTGATTCACGTTGCTAAGCACAGGTTTTAGATGATTATCGTGAGTAGCAAAGATGGTGATTGAGCGTAAGAAGAGGACAGCTATGAGAGAGGAGCGACAGCGTAATGTCAAGACGAAGGGAGCATTGCCACCAATGGAGTGCGTGATAGTGACTAGCATGGAGCCGGTCGCTATGGACATTTTTTGGTCGCAAAGGAGACAGAGAGAGTTTCGCACGGCGCAGATGTATGGATTTCTGATGTTTTCACAGAGGCTACCACCAATAGATATAACATTGTTAACGGAATATGTGACGAATTGTGATCCGGAAGACGGGTCCAGTGTGGTTCATGGGAGAATTATTGGTATAGATGAGGTGACGTTGAACAAGGTTCTATATCTTTTCTTGGGTGAGCTACCGGTATCGGGAGACTTGAAGTCTGATTTTGTTCCAAGCAAGTACTTCAAGTCGGAAAACGAAGCGTTTGAGAAAAATCAAGGGTCGAAGACAGCGGATGCGCTTACGTCGGAGCTCGGAGAATGGATGCGGTTTGTGCAGAAGTGATTAGGGCTGAACCGACATTCGACGTATATGGCAAGGAGGTTATTGTTTTCAGCAATTGCGATGCTGGAGGGGATGGTCTTCAACTGGGCAGCGTATGTTGCGACTAGAATCCATATGAAATTGGACGTGAAAAGAAGAACAGGGAAGGTTATCACGATGTTATGCTCCAACTACGTGTGTGAAGCAATTATATATCAACTGAAGCAACCTTCAATGGTGGAGAGACTAGACGCTGTAGCAACAGAGACAAGAGTAGAGTCAACACCATTGCCATCAAAACAAGTCGAGGAAGCGGTGATAGCAGAGTGCAGCCAAGCTAGAAATTGCGAATGGACTAATGTCAGCTCGTCATCTAGAGAATTGGGTCGTCCCAGTACCAATATGGCCGTCACTCCACCAGTACTGGTAGAGTATTATCAACGGGTGGGTTTATCGAGAGTTGGCCAGCAGGCAAGAAAACTCAAGGAGTTAATCTCGGCACAAATTACTCAATTACAGATGGCCATTGAAAAAATGGACAATGAGTTCAGCCTTAGACAGGTACTGGACGAGAAGGACAAGATCATTGAGGATCAGAAGAAGAAGATTGGGGATTTACAATGTGCTTCAATAACGGACGCTCTCAAATATTCAAGATTAGAGCACCAATTCAAGGAGACCCAAGCGGAATGGGCCAAGGAGAACAAGTTGGCAAATAGTCTGATGGAGCTTACCAAGTAAGATTGTATGGAGTTGCGGAACCAATACCAGGAGGAGAAGAATAGGGTGGCGAAATTGGAAGCCGGGAGATCCAAATTGGAGGACGATTTTCGGAGACAATCGGAGAGCTCGAAGATGGAGAACGAGCAATTGAAGAGAAAGATTGCCGAATTGGAGGCAGAAATGATTACAGTTACCACGCAGCAAGGAGAGGTCAATCCAACAAGTACATCTTTATGGAAATTAGAGACACAGGTGCATGCCCTGGAGGAGCAGCTGAAAGAGCAAGATACCCAAATTGTGCTTTTGGAGTCTCAGGTTCGGGAATTGGGAGCACTTAACGAGGACTTGACAGCTTTATTGAACGGAGAGCAGGTGGGAGAGGGAGTTGGAGAAGAAGCTCAAGAAGTCGAAACCAATCTCACTTATGGAAATGATGAAACGGACCAAGGCGGACCAGAGGTTCAGACATTGGAGGAAGCCAATGATGTGGTGATATTGTAAAATGTAGTACGAGGTGGTTTGTGAGGACGCTGCACAGTAAGGAGTGGGGCTATGTAGAATGTATAAATGACTTTTCTGGTTCGTTATCGGTTAAATAGTAGTAATGTTGGGATTTAGATGAATGGTTAGTTCGATTAGTTGTTAATAGTAGGAAGTTAGGAACATATGCGATTAAGAAGCCAAAGTTTCACAACCTGTGAAATCTGCTGAATGACGATTCATATTTTGGTAGGATAAAGAGGTTGAGGAAAAAGGAATGGGGGCCAAACTGTGATAGTCGTGAGCCAGGGTAAAGCTTGGAGCTACCCTTTTGTTTTCTTTGCTTTTGTGTTTTTCTTTAGTATTGGATTTAAGAAAAGGATTGCTGAAACTGTGATTGAGATATTGAAAATTATGAATTCGAATTAATTAATTTGGAGAAAGAAAGTGTGATTGTGATAATAGAGATTATTGCATTGTGATAGTAGCACTGGAAGATTGAGTAAAAGTAAAGGAATTGAGAATTGAAGTACTGTGGAAAGAGATTAAGCATCCTGTAGATGTCAGAAATGTCAGTGATATTGAGTAGCTGCAGGGCAGTGAACGATTGTAGAGATTGTGAAGGGATTGAATTGAGATGAGGAAGAGAACTTTGGAAGTTTTAGATAATTAATACATAATCAATTGTGACATAACATATCCAATTCATATAACGAGTCTTTCCCCGAGATCGAACCCACCTATACTGATCAAATATCTTGGTGTTTTGAGTCCGAGTCAAACGACGATTACAGTGATGATTGTTGAATAGAATTTATTTTTATTTCTAATTTGGAAGAAACATGTTCTGGCCAGTCAAGGATGAAATTTTTTAATTTCAACTGGAGATAGAGTTACTATTTTGTAATAATTCAAATGTAAATTGAATATTATATTTACAAAGAAATATTCATACATGTATACAATGGCTAAATTATTTAAAAAATAATATGCTTACAATTTTTTTTATCATTTCAAATACTTCTGTGTGACCTTTGTGTACAACAATGTGCTTTAATTTTTACATTTACAAGTAATTAAATATTTTTTCATGATATTTCAAATAATAGCATAGTATTATTTATACTTGCAATATATCAAGTTATACATAATGTGATTTATAAGATTAATTTTAAAAAATATGATAATGGAAGTAAAGTATTGTATAATTGATTCTATAAAAAAATTATAAAACATTTGTACATTATCCTGAATACGAAAGAAAAAAAAATGATATATTTAAATAAGACTTGTTTGTTTAGGGCCACAACTACACAATTAACTACAATAGGAGAAATTTGTTGTAGTATAGTTGTTGAGGATGCTTAGCTCTCAGTCTCTCTTACAAAAGAACTTTGCTTAGAATGGCTGTATTTCATGTGTTTAATTGCGAGAGCTATTTTTTCTAAATTATTTAATTAGAAATACAAACTTAAAAGTGATAAGCTTGTTTTTTTTAATGTTCTTTTTATTTGATTTGTTTCCTTAGCAATAAAAGAAATCACCCACATATAATTGCCATATATTTGATCTTCGGATGAACGTTGAGATTGTGAGAGGTGCTGCGCTTCTGCACTCTGTACGTTGGATGCAAAATGAATGAAATAATGACGACGGCATTCATTGATAATGAATGAAAGGATGAGAGATGAAAATCAACAACGACATTTATTGGAGTTTCTCACTGAAATGGTAAATGGATGAACGCAATTCAAATGCTTCCCCTGCAACGGATCACAAGAATTCTAGGTCTAGGGTATGGAAGCCTCCAGAACTAACCAGCATTTCGCGGCCGTAGAATTCTACAAAGCACTGCATGCTCTCCACTGTTGCCGTAGCAGGGACTCGTCACCGGTCGAGCCTTCTTTCCCCGGTGTATTGCATGCTAGTTAGTCGTCATCTATTGCGTTCCGGAGCTGTCTCCGTGTAAGGTTCTGGTGTAGTGTGTATCCTGCTCTCGGTTCTCGCGCTTTTTTTTCCACTGGTTTTTTGTTGTCGCCAGTGTCCTGATATTCTTGTTCGCAGATCTTGAACATTAGTCGGAGCTTGTTCATTTGTAATCATTGGTGTGTTTTTTTTTAGTCTGACTTGAACGATAGGTGGTTGACGTGTTAATCTCACATATGGGAGAATACGGGTACATAATTACAGAGACGCTTCATTTGAACGATTTAAGTCATATCATTGTGCGGTATCATCTAGTTGTGCGCATTGTAGGTATATGCACAGTATGGCGGGGTTTGTGCTGTCTCGCTTGGTGTGTCGTAGATTGAATGAAGTAGTTTCAACACGTTGATCGGGTCGTGCATATTTGTTAGATTTGTGGGATCGGTGCTAAGGTTTAGGGTTTCATGCATGCAACGGTCGAAACTTTAGTTAGAGAAGCAGTTTTGATCACCTAAGCGTTGAACCGGAAACTTGGTCGACCTCTACTCCCTGATTTGTGTCTTTCACATTCATCTATGTGCTTCAAATCTTGCGGATATGATAGTACAACCGAAGTATGCGATGTACTGTTAGAAGCGGTTCAATTTCTGTTATGTGCTTACAGTGTTAAGCTTGCTCTTTCTTGATGGTGTAATCCCGGGGCAGTGATGACCAGAATTTCTCGATGCTTAAACTTCTGTGCAGAAGATTTGTGCTGATATACATGGTTTGTGCGTGTCTGAGCCCATTTCTACATGCAACAGACTCTCGGATCCCATTTGCTTACATTTCCAGATGCTTACTTTGCGGGGTCATTCGTCTCTTTGATGTCCTCTTTCTGCTCCGATATGTTTGGACGCTGCATAGACAAGCTTGAAAGGCAACGATGAGGAATTCAGTTATCCTTGCGCTTTGACTGGGGGGCGTATATCCTCTTGATGAAGACATGGAACCATCCAGACTGCCAATCCTGGAACTGAGATGCCTGAATGTTTTAACAATGTTGCTAAAACTTAAAACGTTAATAGAGCATTTTGGGCTCTGCTGTAAATAATATTGTGTTTGGCACTGTAGGTTACAAACTATTAAAAGAGTCTGTTAATGTATGCTTTAAGAACATGCCATATTCCAATCAGGACGAATGATATTATGTACGTTCTAATTAACATTCGCTATAATGACTTCTAGTACCAACTTCCGTTAAGATTACTTCGGAACATACGTATAATTAGCTTTACAAATGACGCTTGCAACCCTCTTGTCAAGGTAGACATTTAATAACTCTTAATGTTATTTTCTTTTTGGGATTAATATCGTCATCACACAATTGTAGAAATCACAGCAATGAGTTGTCTAATAGATGGCAGTTTGCCCCAAGCATATTTGATGAATACCCTACCATGTGGCTAACAAATTGCTCTCGAATGTGCACAATTGTACATTTTTACTGCTACCTGCAAAGATGCGTCCACTGCTCACTCTGAGATTTTGTGAGGGGGAATAGTCCATACAGTCAGAAATCATATTTACCAACCTCGTTAACAAGCGTAATGCAGTGCGAAGAGATATGTCTGAGATCGTGACTTTTTCTCTCGAGATACCTTCACAAGTCTAAGAAAAACCGATACATTTAAGATTTCGGAATCCCTCAATGGTGATTACGCTCATTTGGTTATATCCATAATCATCCATGATAATACATGGGGAGAGAGGCTATTCTCTAAAACTCTCTGTTAATGTGTTTGGATCAACTTACATGAAGACCCAATTTGTAGCACAGGAATTTTCACTAGATAATAGAGCCCACTAACTGCCGACCACAAAGCTGGGTGAGATGGGTACATGAACGGAGAATATAATTCTAAGTTTTCCTCGTGAATTCAACACATGGTTGAGGGAACACAAAGATATACGAACCTGCCACATCTGAGCAGTTCCATATCTGCTTGGTTGTATTGACTTGGAGGGCTATGTTGGCTAAATGAATGTCACGAAAAGGAGATTCTTGCAGTCCCAGAAACAGACCAGCTTGATTGATATTCTCACCCACAATGTTCTTCATTCGAATATCCTCAATGAGAGGATAAGCAGTCCGATTCCAGTTCTCATCAGGGTGTTCTCCATAGTTGCCCATGACAGCAATTGCAGTCCTAATTGAGTGCAGAACAATGTTCTTCACTGAAATACCCCTCACATATCCACCACGTCCAACCGCTGTTTTGATACGCACACCCCATCTGGCCCCAGTGACGACCATGCCGTCCACCTGCAAAAAAAAAAGACTAGGTCAGCGAGATGGAATTGCATGATGTGAAGAAAGAGTCAAGTGGTTCTGGTTGCATGAATAGCAAACGCTGACCTTGACGTCGGAAATGCCGCCAGACATTTCGCTGCCGAAAGAAATTCCAGCACTCGAGCGTGAGAACGCTAGTATGCGTTGGACTTTGATGTGTTTGCTCGGCATCGCAAAAGACGTTCCGAACTGATCCCATCCACTCTTGATTGAAATCGCATCGTCGCCTACGCTGATGTAGCAGTCCTCAATGCAGACATGTTGGCTTGAGTCTGCACAACGTGCAGAACGACTAATTATGACATTCTGAGGGTAAGGTCCTCCGTGCGTTGATTCAACACAAAATAAATCATGGGACACCGAGATGAATTGATTGCGAGTCATCCAAGTTGAAATTGAAAGAAAACCTCGAGATGTGAGGAGAACGACCTGTTCTTAATTCGTGCAGCTAACATCTCATTTTAGAAAAATGTCAAAAGTATACCTGGGTCGATACCGTCTGTGTTCGGAGCATCGAACGGATTCAAGATGGTTAAGCTTTTCACCACCACATTCCTAAGAGATCGCCCACAATATCCATTACAAACTTTCTAACCTTGTGAAGCTTAAAAATGACGGTAGACACTCAAAACCAGAACTACGCATTCTTCCAAGTTGTGGATGCAGTTTCTACTGGAATTCTATTTAAGGAATTGTCTAAAACAGAAGGAAACGACAAGCACGTGTGAGTTTAGAAAATTACTTGCAATAGACCGGATGGATGGTCCAGAATGGTGAGTTCTTAAAAGTAAGATTTGAAATCAAGATGTTTTTCGACTCAATGAGCTCTAACATGTGACCCCGAGTATAATTCAATGTTTTTTTTCGGAATGCACTCCACCACACTGCTCCTTGCCCATCTATTGTTGCATTATCACCTGTCATCACATACCAGGTCTTAATAAAACCCTGGAGGCCACATGAATAGTATTCGAAGTCTTTGGTCACTTCCCCTCAGTTCATTTTATTGTTCCCCTATAGAAGTTGGCTCTTTCATGGATCAGAAAAATGCATCTACCTGTGATAATAACATCTTCAAGGCCATTGCCATTGATAAGACTGCTGAATCGTGGGCCTGGCAGCTCACGGCCTCGACCATAGGATGGCAATCCTGGAATAACTGGGTAGTCGAAAAAGTCCTGCACATTGATGAAAAGCATGCTAATTCGTCTGATGTCCACACATTCAAGCGTTTGCAATGCAATCGAAGCCAAGTTCATAAAGAATATCTACTCTCACAAAAGCTCAGGTACAAACGAGTTATACCTCTGAACCGAGGATTGTAGCCCCATTTTCCAGGAATAAAGTGAGGTGACTAATCAACGTGATACTTCCAGTTAGCCAGAGTCCCACTGGGATGTACAACTGTGCGCCGCCATTAGCAGCATAACTGCGAAGGTAGAAGATAGCGTTCTCGAATGCATGTGTATTCAGTGTCTTCCCATCACCCACCGCACCAAAATCGGTGATAGAAACGCTGTGCGGACGACCCTCCCAGGCATTCACAGTGTGTGCACACCTATCTTTAGACTGCCAATCCATTACATCAGTAACTTTCGACTCAGCAATACTTGTTGAAAGAAGAAAACCAAAAATAGCAAATTGCTAAGCATTCCGACCGTTGTGTTCAAGAGCTTGCTCAATGAATCATGACCACGATTCTGCAGAATTCCCTTACTTTGCCTTTCCCGAAGATGCTCTTGTGCAAATCCATGGGGCTCATGGGGTTCAAGACTTCATTTGTTGCGAAGTGGTCGTCGTCGGTCACTGAATGGCCTCCCATACATGTGTGCCAGAATTTCCCAGAGCCTATACAACTCAACAGGAGCAGCAGAAATTGCAAGCTCTGGTAGCCCGGCGACCCTGTCATTGAAGTTCACCCAGGTGATGAGTTTAAAAGAGGATTCTGGTCTCTATGCCGATGTCTTCCCCTTTTCGATATTGAATGCCCTGCTTTTTGTAGGTTCAAAAGCTACTGATTCCTCAGCCAGTTTGATGATTGTATCGTAAATTGAGACCTGCCAAATCGATCAGCTGACCATCCGAAAAATATCAAATTACGTGCCCATCAGGTTTCGAAAGATCAGCAAATAGCTCTCAGCAATCGTCACAAAATCCAATGCGAGGTTCTTTCTGGTCGCACAATCACAATTCTTTCTAGAACCGAGGACTTTCAATCTCAACCCACAAACTGAGCTAGACTGCGGCAAGAAACAAAACGCACAAATGCCTGCTATGGGATCGATCAAGACTTCAAATCACCCACAAGTATAACGCCTCAACCTCTCTATCTTACTCATGCCATTACCAATCTGTCACCAACACTTCTCTCCCACTTCAGCCTTCCTCCCCACTTCATCCCCAACATACGCCAACCAAACCCTACCTGGTTAACGTACGTCCAAGAAGCTCTCTCTCTCACTCTCTCTCGCTCTCTCTCTCACTCTCTCTCGCTCTCTCTATCGCTCTACTTCGAAACATTCGCTTCCTCACAGCGAACAGTCATTCGCGCTTTCACAGCTCCCTCAAACAACGAAAACCATTCCGTAAAATCTCGAAACCCGTCATGTTAAAAACCCACTCTCCCAGCAGGTCCAATAATTGTAAGCTTCCGCCAACTCCACTGCATGAGATTCCCCTGTTCCCACGCAATTCTTCCCCAATGCCTCAATTCTGATCCACGACCAGCAAAAAGACGATCGTCGTGACAGTCAAGCGCCAGTGGCATTCAGTAGTTACCACGGTTTCTTTGTGAACTGTTGCGTAATTGTAAAGCGACGGATTGCGCGACAAGGAATCCGGGCAGAAGGAAAAGGCGGCATTGAAGAGTCTGAGAGGGGAGGTCGGAGGAGCACTTGCAAGGATGGATTGTTCAGGCGATGCTGCCAGGGCTGCTGCTGCTGCTGCTTCGTGGGCGGTGTGGAAAGGACCCCGGCGAACTAGAACTAGTTTTTCACATGCGTACAAAACAAATTTCATCACTGAAACTTCCCTGTGTATTGGAACCATTCACCACATGATTTCACACACCATGAACTGGATGTTAGCAAACAGCTCACTATGTATAGCTTCGATAAGCTGGGCTGCTGAAGTTGAGCTGCAGTTCGAATAGTGGTCTAAAAAAACCGTAGCAAATCTATTTATTATATCTTCAAGTTTGATTGAATCCCAGAAACAACCTGTGTTGAGTCGCGAATTATCTCACCGACAATGAGGTCTTTTCCCTCTCATTTATCTCGGCACAGTTATGGTCAACACGGAAATCGGTTACGCTGCGACTAGCATGTGAAAGTGTTAGATCCAATCGTGAATGCACGGGACACAGAGAGATGGTGCCGGTCAGGAACATTAACAACTTTCTCTGTCGGGCAATAAGCGAGACACGGCAATGATCGAAGGCTGAAGGAAAGATTTCCCCTCCATTGCGGGTCAGTTTCGGTGAAGTACAGCAGACTGAGGAAATTCAGACGATTCTGCTGCAGAAACTCCTGCATCCAAAACAACAGACAGAATTAAATCGTTGTACTTTCAGCCACCATCACCTATAAATGCCACTGGCACTCGCAGACAATTGAAACTGAATCCATTTAGGGACTCATGCGCAGTAGGTGTCTGCGATTGCAGGTGCCCTATTGGTTCACAGTTGCTAGCAGCACCAGCGTGTTGACTTTGCTCACGTAATCCTGCAGAGCTTCGAAGGACATTAACGTCGGACAGAAAAAAGGAGATCAATTGCTTGACTGATGGACCTGAACTATAAAATCGCATCGATTAATGTGAAACGGTAGCAACTGTAATGGTCTTCTACTTGCTCGTACTGGACTACAGCGATTTTGCGACGAACTAGAATAGAATGGGATGAGAATTCCGGCCAGGATCCACCATTTCAGCTACTTGTACTTCCCTCCGCTCACTTGAGGGTCTTTGAACCTGCAAGCCCTCATTATCGAGCCACAAAGTAGCTTCTGGTAGTTATTGGGCACAACCACGCGCCAGTTTCCTCGCATAGATTCCCACTGCTGTTACACCTCCAAGAATAAACTCCAGAGGCCTACATGAAAAAGCTTCCACAAACACATCTCAAGCTTATCACCATGGCTGCTGCAGGGACGAAACCCAGTCAGGCCCATGATCAATTCCAGAAGCTAGCGGTTAGTGGAATCGACACATCTAGCCAGAGTGAGCTTCAGCAAACTGATTGAACACCCTTCGATCTTGTTGACGATTCTGCATCGTAATCTCCGAAGACAGCATCGACAACCAGAAGAACGGTCCACCTAGTGACCTTTGTTAGCATTATATTCATGAGAAGGATGCTAATGCCTTGGGATTGTGAGAATTGCTCAGTCCAAAAGGAGTATGCCCTTTGCATGTTGAGAGCCAAAATGAGAGCATAGCAATCTTAGTGGGAAACTGTTGCTTTTTCATGAATGTGAGAGTGTAAGTCCATTTTTGACGATCTAGTATGAAGGTCGTTTTCTCGGTGGTTCTATATGAGCACAAAATTCTCTTTTTTTTAGTCTGTATATTTTTAAGAAAATCCTCTTCTCATTTCCAAATAAATGCATTTTTTAACTCAATGGATATTTAATTTAAAACTTTAAAACAAATATTATATATATATATATATATATGTGTGTGTGTGTGTGTGTATATATATATATAAGTAAAAGAATGTAATTTTTTATGTTTGTACTAAATAATATTTTTAGGAAGTTGATGAAGCCACATCCCAATGTTGTTAAAGCCACAACCCTCCTTGCGATTTCATGATTGATTTCGATCATCTCCACTTCTTGTTCTCATTTCTCGTTCCATGTTCTCCATCCCAAATCACTTTTGTTTCCATTCCTCTCCCTTGTTTCTTGTCCCTATTCCTCTTTCTTGTTCTTTGTTTCTTGTTCCAAACACCCCATGTCTCTATTCCTATCCTTTGTCCCTTGTTTCCCATTCTCGTCCCTTATTCTTTATCATCCATTCCAACTCCACTCCATGTTCCCCTTCCTAACTTGGAATAGATTCTACTTCACACTTGGGGTGTAGTTTTAACAACTTTCTATTTTTTACTAGATAAAAATTCATTGATTTAGTTCAATAACAAAAAAAAATTGGTCAATAAATTATTTATATTTGGTTCTTAAGAATTTTTATTAGTGTTATATTTTAGATATTTAAGTATATTTTAAGATTTAATTTTATATTTATTTAAAATTTTTAAAATTTTATTTGTAATTTTAAAAAATTAAATGTATAATATTATGTTTTTATAAACATTATATATGATCAAAAGTAAATATTAAAATTATTTAGTAATTTAAAATTAAAAATATATTTGTATCTTTTTTAGAAGTTTAACTACCTTTATGTAAAGATTATAGTACCATTCTTCAAATCTCATACCATAAAATAATTGTATATAATATTTTAATGTTAGTTATAAAAAATCTTATACCAACAAACAAAAAAAATTACTATGCACTTTTGTAACATAATACATCTTTTAGATTAAAAAGATATTAATGCACAAATTATAATTTATGAATCAATAATAAAGTATGTTTTTAATTAGACTTTTAACTAAAAATATAATATTAAAAAAATAACTTTATACATATGTAATTATAAATAATTTGTTTCAATTCTTCTTTAGCTGTCAATGCTTGTGTGATGACAATCTCTATTTACAACTTTGATAATAATAAAATAAATAAATAAAGTAAAAAATTAAAATATTTTTTATATAAGATTTTAATTATAAATTTTTTTATAGATAATAACTTTTTAGAAAAATATCAACTTTAAATGACTAATTAATTTGATAAATAATTTTAAAAAAATCCAATTAAAATTTATATAAATTAAGAATAAAGACTTTGACACCTAATTGTAATGCCATTGAAGTAAGTCATTCAAGAGATTTTTAATTTTTTTTGAATATTATAACATACACACACTAATATAAAGCCTGCAATAAAATAAAATACTTCATTATTAATTTATTCTATTAAAATTTACAAAAATAAAAAAATAAAAAAATAAAAAAATCTTAGATAAACCCTTACAACTATAGTTGCTATGGTTACATTTATTTTTTTTATTTTTTTTTATTTTGAATCTTTTGTGATCTATTTTTTGCTTTATTTTTTTAGAGATTGGAAATCTTTTTAGAGATTGAGCATATAATTATAATTTTTTTCAAATCTAAAATTATATATTCAGATATGCTTCTTATTTGTAATCATTTAATTGACATGTCAAAATTTTAGGTAATAGTTATGATTTAGTCTAAATTTTAACATTTTTTTTTTTTTTTTCTATAATTTTTAACAAAAAGATCATATGTATCCCTCAAATATGTTGAAATATTAAGAATATTCCTATATTCTTAATAATAGAACACATACTTCATTTTTTGTGATAATAATAAATCTACCTTCAAATGCCATAAGATATCACTACTCTTTGTTTTTTAGTTGCATCCAGGATCTAAAACTTATACCACACAAATTTTGGTGCAATTCTTTCTAACATATTTTGCCTCTTCTTTTATCAATGTTTTTGTGTTGAATAGATTTTAACATGCTACTTTTGACAAATTCAGCTACAACAACATTTAACTACTATTTGAAGCCAAAGTCAGAAGATCAGACACCAGATGTGATTTGGTGATTTTTCTATGCTTTATGAGTTGACTCGATAAGTGTAGAATTGATCAAAGTGTCACGGACACAGAAATACAGGCTCGAGATCTAACAAGACGTTCAAGAAGAATTGATAAGAACTAGATTAATCAGATGAATACAAGAACAATACCAAAGAGGTGAGCTAGAGCTCCAAGAGATATGTTATCGAGACTGAAGAACTCTTCAGCCTCGATTCCAATATATACTCCTATTTAGGAAGCTTTTCAAGCAACTTCTACTAACTAAAAAGCTTCTAGAAGGTTTCAGAGACTTGCTTCTAAAAGATTCTAGAAACTTATCTCTAGAAGGTTCTAAAGACTATGTTCCTAACATCCTCTACCAACTAGGAAGCTTCTCAAGTAACTTCCATCAACTAGGAAGCTTCTAGAAGGTTCCAGAGACTTGCTTCTAGAAGGTTCTAGAAACTTGTCTCTAGAAGGTTCTAAGAACTATGTCCCTAACATCACCCCCTCTTTTAGCTTCGAGGTCTCTGAGAAGCAATGTTGTTGTTAATCAGTACCAACATAAAAAAATAAAAATTTGTCGCATAACGTCTGCTATGAACTCCAACTGTTGTTCACGAGGTAAGTGGTTCATCGGTCCTTGAAGCCAATGGTAGTGGCCCATGCCTTCGACTTCTGATCAAGTATGAACTTTCGTGTCCTCATTGTGAAATTGTCTTGCAAACATGCCTTTTGGCTGACCATCGTAAGTAGACTAGATCTCCAATACAATCACCAGTGATCGGTTACTCTGTATCTTCCATCGTCGTCGTGGTGTAGGCGGTTCTTCATCTCGGGGTCGCCTTCATGAGCTAGTCGGTTGAGATAATCTGACTGGCATAGTATCTATCTCTTAGCTATTCATATCAGAAGACCAAACTATAGCTACTGAAAAAATTCTACTTTATCTTGGAAAAAATAACTATATCAACTGCGAATTTTGGTGGTGCTCTCCTCCTTTCTTATATTCTTAGGTGAGCAAGCTTTAGAAGGAAGCTATCGTTGAATCGGCTTAGGTTTATGATGATGTTGTTGATGAAATTTCTGTAACTTTTGCGGTGCATTAGCGAGATTTTCAGCTGGCTTCCACGTTTGCTCATTAATGTCGTAGCCGCTCCAATGAACAAGATACTCCAACTTGCCCCACCTTCGCC